TATTAACTCTACTCTTATTAAGTGCCTATTGAGTAATATTCTGTAGATGATTAGTATGACATAGTTACTGCCCTGAAAAGAACTTCAATATAGGCGAGTATTTAATAAGTTGTTTCCCTTAAATGAAGAATTAGATTCATCTGCAGTAGAGCTGACCGGGACGATCTGAGCTGAGATCTCAGAAGAGCAACTCACGTCCCCCTGGAGCTCTCCATGGTGCTTGCTAAATGGTGGTTTAGCCTGTTTTGCTCCTGCATTCCTGGTAGTCTCACTCCAATTCAGAAACGTAGATTCTGTTCACTGTGCTCCTTCTCTTTCTCTTACTACTTTGCAGGTCAAGGCTACCCATTCGCAATTTCAGGAGGCCAGTATACAGCTAGTATAATCTCATCTTTGCCAAATCCTGACCTTGACTCAGCCCTGCTCACACTGCAGCAGCTTGGGTATTCCTGACTCAGATCCTTCCACAACTTGATAAACACGCTACTCCTCATTCAGAGTAGTAATGCAGCTCATTATCAACTTTTAGACATCATATGATTAAATCGACTATTTGAAACACACTCTCAGAATTCCTAGCCCACATAAACCCTGTCCAGTGTCTAGTATCTAGAAAATTTCCTGTTACGCTCTGAACCAGTATGCTGCTCCTTTATTTCCATCTTCTTAACTACAGAAGCCATGAGGTTAGGTTAGTTCTATGCAGGAGTGATACTTCAAGATATTCGGTGGTGAAGAGATGCTTTCTGGAGCCATATTCTAATTTTAATATAACCTACAGGTTGAATCTACATGATATAAAAGACAAGAAGAAAAACATTAAGACAGTAATTTTGGCTTCACTAGTTTTATTTATTTTTTTATTTTTTACTTTTTGTCTTTTTTCGTGACTGGCAACGGATCACAACCCTCAATGTCGCGCCCGTACCGGCCTGGGACCGGCAACGGGATCGCAACCGTCGGTGTTGCGCCCGCACCTCGCTCAGCCAGTGAGCGGCCGGTCTGTATGTGGGATCCGAACCCTCGGCGGGAGTGCTGCCGCGCTCCCAAGCGGTGCACTGTAGCACTGCGCCACCAGGCCGGCCTTTCACTAGTTTTATTTTGTGTATATAGATAATGATGCTAAAATGGCTAAAATAATCTGGAGAGAAAGAGAGGGGAAAGAGATGGGCTTCCTCTCTGCTTTCCTCAGTTACAGAATTAACTGAATTTTCTTTGCCCCTTAAAAACCATTGGGTCATTTATTTCTCCTCCAACCCCAACAGGTCCATAACTTGAGATAATCCAAAGCTTTCTTCCAACATTTCCGTGGTTTCCCGAAAGCTTATTTTCTTGTGGTATCCTTGTCTTCTGATGGTTTGTGTGTTGATTCCAACCTTTTGTACTTTGACGTAGGGCAAAACTCAGCACCTTCAAAATTTTGCAGGAAATCCTGCATTTTGTGAATTCAGTAGATTTACCTGCAGATTTGGGGGCTATGTCAGAAGCACCTTGAGCCCTTCTGCTCTCTCCTTATCTTCCTTCCCCCTTTTGTCTCCTCATTACGTTTCTCTGCTTCTCTCCCCTGGATAGTCCCAAGATTTCCATATTACTCCCCTTCTATTATGTAGAGCAGTTCAGCATATTTCAACTTTTACCCTCCAACCAGCGTAATCGAATCCATTGGGATCCTCATGAGCAATGCATGGGGTAGCTGTAGGGTTTAGTTTCTGGAGCCTCACTGAGTTCACACCCCAGCTCTGCCACCTACCATATCTGTTACTTTGGGCATGTTATTTAACCTCTTTGATCTGTGAGATGAGGATAATAATAGTATTCTCTCATAAGTGATAAGTTATGTAAAAGATTAACCTTGTTATATAGTGTACATTTTTGTATGTTCATACTTCTTTCTCCTTTTTCGTCCAGTTACTGGTTGGTTTTACCATCATTATGCATAAAATATTTTTATTTCTACTTCACTAATATTTTTTAAAAGGGAGCTCAGACAAGAAAAAGACTAAAATAATAGCTTACTTTAATAGATAACATACTGTTGGCACTTTCTCATCAAGAAATTTAATGCAATGTGTAATGTTTCTAAGATATTGTCCAAGTATTGTAATTCTTTTAAGAGAATGATTAAAGAATGATAAATACATTGAATTAACAATGTTAAAAATTAACAGAGGTCATTTTTAACTAAGTTAGTTTAAATTTTTAATTTTTCTTACGGTTTTAAACCATGATTTTGGCTTATTTGTGATGTCACTTGTTCCCATCATCTTGGTTAATCTAGATTTGGATGTAATTGTGTATAAAAACTGACTCAGTTGGAAATATCTTTTATTTACCAGTCCTTTCAAATTCTATGAAGGCATTCCTACTGTTTACAGAATAATATAGAAACTTGAAATTAAGATTTTTGTTACTTAACTTATTACTCTTCCTATTTAGCATTGCTCAGACAACAGTAAGCCTACGTTCTTACTTCTATGTAAGTTAATTAGTTAATTAGTGTGGAATTTTAATTTATTTTATGGTAATTTTACATAAATTATAAGGGGCTTCCTATTCATCAAATCTGCTTTACTTTTAATGTGTTATTTAGCAACAGAAGATAATATTTTCAAGCACTTGCATTTTGTTTCTAATTTTCTTACTCCGATATTAAGTATTATTCTTTTAAAACAATTTTGTGCACAAAACACTGGCAGATGTTTAGCACTTGATAGCAGTAATTTGGCAAATTATGTGTCATATTTGCCCTTGGTAACCTTGACAGCTATTTTATCATAAGGGGACTTTCTGAGCAACAAGGCAACTAACTGTAATATATGATGTTTAGTGAATAAACTATATTAACTCATCATTATATTGAGAATTCTGATTGACTTACATGACATTAGTAGGAGATAGTATCATCAGTAAAGCTCTGTGTTATCTAAAGAAGTTGAAATTAGATTTATCAAGGCTTAATATAACTCTATAGGAAATCCCTAGTTTACAATTGGGTCATGATCAATAGTTTTCATTTTTTATCTGTTATTTGGTATTCGTAACACGTTTTCCTTTAGAAACAAAGTAATAAGTGGTTGTACTGAGACTCCTACGCTGATGCATACAATCTTTTGTAACCTTTATGGTAAAGAATCATAACAACTAGCAGCATCATTTATGCTAAGAGTATAGCAACACTGTTTTCATGACGATGTGTTTGTTTTCTGTTCTCCCTCACCTTCGTTTTCCTTACCTTTGAGTTGTTGTAGATTCTACTCAATGAGGAAGAAATATGGTAGCAAGAGGGATATATATCTCCTCATCCTTTATCTCCTCATTGTCAGATAATAAGAAGCCACAGTGTAGTTTGTGTAGTTTGCAGAGCTTTGGAGGTGGCCCGTCTGCAATCATCATGTGGCTTCATCTGGCTATTCATCAGATTAAAATTATATATATGTATATAAATATTATATGTGTATGTATAAACTTATATATGTACATTTTATATATAAACACATATTTTTATACATAATAGAAATATATTTCTAGTATATATTAGATATTTCTAGTGCATCCTGTCATTGCTATGACCTAAATGTGTGCCTTATCAGTGTTGAGGTTGAGATCCATGTTTGGGGTCCTGATGTTATCATGTGAATGCTTTTATTTCACTCCTTTCTCCTGCTTTTACTTAAATTCCGGTATTATGTAGTCATTTTATTTCAAGACAGAGTTTTGGTGACCAGTGTAATAAAATAATGGTGAACTCTTGTTTGTAAGTCTTAGGTGGTTTTTGAAATGCAGACTCTTAGACTACACTGACCAGAAATTCTGATTCAGTAAGTCTGGGCTGGAGCTCAGGAATCTGAATTTTTAACAAACAACCGAAGTGATTTTTTGTGGGTGTAGGTGGTCCTCAGATCATCCCTGGGGTAGAGGCTAATTCTAAGTTACCTTAGGAGATAATGCAGCACTGTGGTGGAGAGCCTGGAGCTTCACCTTGGATTAAAACTCCACCTCTGCAATTAGCAAACCTTGTGAACTTGGACAAACTATTGAACGACTTGGTGCCTAGACTTCTTTGTCTATAAAGTTGCAATGATGATGATATCTCCCTTATATGGTTGGAAGAAGGATTAAATAAGTCTATGTATTTAAGGAGACTGAGCACAGAGGATGTGCCAATAAACATTATTATTATTATTTTATCCTGTGGCCTTAATACTAATTATTTATTATTTATGCACATATAAGTCCCTTCAGTGCTGAGTTTATAATTCAATACTTAGTCTAGTCATCATCTCCTTTTGAAGTTTTCGCTGAACTACAGGCTACTCTATGCTTCTTTTATGTATATCTATATATCTTTTATGTGTATCTATCAACGCATTTATTGCATCATATTAAACACTTCTGTTTCTCCCTCTGTCTCACTCAATGGCCATGAGCTTGTTGAGGATGAAGACCCTATTTTACTAACATTTGTGTTTTGAGCATGGAGTACTTTTGCTAGGACACTGCCTAGCTGAGGATGCCGGTTGGAAAATGGTCAGCTCTTGTGCTTATCCTGGCTGTAAAATCCCAGAGGCAAAGAAAAAGGAAATATTTTCCAGAATTGAACCTGAATGGTTTTTGTGGAAGAAGATTGTCATTCATTCATTTCATCAATATTTGATGAACATCTATCACGTGAACAGCAAGGGACAAAACATCCACGCCCTTATGGAGCTTGTACAGATTTACTTTGTGTCCATTCACTAGTGACTAAACTCGTATCTTTTACCATTGGGCATGCATTATATTACTGAACTGAATATAGAACAGTCCTTATGGAGCACATATTACAAAACTTACATCTGAAATATAGAATCACAGTAAAATTCAGAACACCTGGGCAGAGCCTTAATTATTGGACATCAATTCTCATTAAACATAATGCAGTTTCCCTTTCTGGTTAGTGCTCAGTGTGACCAGCATCCCTGGATCAACTGCTGACTGGGTTTGTCGTTGAACGTTTTCAGACCTCCAGTGGTGGAAGGCACTCTGTCCGTATCACTGGCCTCAGTACCATTGATTTCCGAGCTGGCTTTTCCCGAAAGCCCACCCTGGACTTCAAAAACACAGTCAGCAGACCGGTGCAAGGTTTGTATGTGCCTCTTACTTAAACTGGCGTTAATAGTTTTCCAAGTAAAAATATTTCTCAGACTGTCTGATTTTATAATTTTGTAATATTCAATTAAGTTGAGAAGCATAGCATCTTTATTTTTATTGAAACATAATTGATTATACATATTTGTGGGGTACAGAGTTGAATGTCAATGTCTGTGTACAGCGTGTGATGATCAAATCAGGATAATTAGCATGTTCATCATTACAAAGTATAATCATTCTTTGTGTCCATTAACCAATTTCTTGCTAACCTCCCTCTCCCTCCCCCTTTCCTATGTCTAGTAACCACAGTTCTGATCTCTCCTTCTGAAAGTTCAATGCCTTACTGTGATTGTCTCTTTCTTTTGCTCTCTCTTTATGTATGTATTTATTAGCTCCTACTTATGAGTGAGGGCATGCCGTATTTCTCTTTCTGTGCCTGGTTTATTTCACTTAACATAATTTTCTCCAAGCTCATCCATGCTGCTGCGAATGGCAGAATTTCATTCTTTCTTATGGCAGAGTAGCATTTCATTATGTATATATACCATATTTATTGCTTTCTTGGCCTTGGCACTTTTTCTCAAAGTGTAGTCCCAAAACCAGTGATATCAAAATCACTTAGCGAGCATGTTAAAAATTAAGATTCCTTGACCCCACCCCAGATCTCCTGGATTAGAACCACAGAAGGTAGGTCCCAGGAATATGTACCTTAATGAACACACTAATTTATTTTTATACTTGAGACTTTTCTTACTAAAATCTATAAATTGTCCTGTCAAGATAAAATGTATGAATATAGCTGAAAAATTAAAGATACCATGTATCACTGTATGTTCAAAGATGAAATTATTGCTGATTTTAAATCTTATTTATCCTCTTATTTTATTCATACATTAAGATTTATAGTTTTTTTTTTCCTTTTTGTCTTTTTCCGTGTCCGGCAGCGGGATCGCAACCCTCGGCGTTGCTCCCACGCCTCGCTCAGCCAGTGAGCGGGAACCGGCCTGTATGTGGGATCCGAACCCTCGGCAGGAGCGCCGCCACGCTTCGCAAGCGGCGCACTATAGCAGTGCGCCACTGGGCCGGCCCAAGATTTATAGTTTTATAGCTAAAAAGAAAGCTCAATTCTACTGTGACTCAAAATTTTTTCTGCTTGTAGTTTGTTTATTTTTATCGTTGTAGTTTCTGGAGCATACAAAATAGTGAATCTTTTAAAATATTCATGTAATCAAACTTCACATAACACAATATTTCCAATTCTAATTTTTCTACATATAAATGTAATTAAAATACTATAAAATAATTACTTAGGATTTCCTAAGTTTCTCTGATTATGCACAAACTGTCTTTTAGGTAGAAAAGATTCTACAACTGGTCCACAATTTGTAGAGCAGTCTGTACTACTAATCCTTATAGTACTTATATGTTATTATAGTGCAAATACTTTTTTGATATACAACCTCAATTGCACGTTACTTCTAAATGTTAACAAAGTCTTTCTCTTGTAGGAATACCTACCTACGTGCTGCTGAATACTTCCGGAATTTCCATTCCAGCTAGAGTAGATCATCTTGAACTTCTGAGTATCTCAGGCAGTTCTCTCAAGACTATTCCTGTTAGATATTACCCAGATCGGAAACCTTATGGCATATGGAATATTTCTGATTTTATACCTCCAAATGAAGCTTTCTTTCTCAAAGTATCAGGCTATGATAAGGATGGTTATCTCTTCCAGAGAGTATCAAGTGTTTCCTTTTCTAGTATTGTCCCAGGTGAGACATCCTTTTATTCAGCATTAAAATATTGATAATTTATGGGGGTGATGTGGTCCAGTAGGTAAAGAATGGGCTAAAATATAAAAAAATAGTCTCTTCATATTATTATTGTTACCAAACTGATGAATATTTACATGTGGGTAACACAATTTATCTTAACCATTAAATAGCACATCCAAAATTTCATGTCAATACTCACTGATTATAGATCTGAGGATTTTGATTACTTCAATCAATATAAGAACTTGAACTGGGAAATTCTGGTACCCTCTCTTCGCCTGAAAAGCCTGTCATATATGTTTGATTGAATTACCCAAATTGGCTAAACGTTTATATACGATTGTCAGAAAACTTCTGCTCCGTGAACAGTACTTTATTGTAAAAAACTGTTGATTGTTCTGCCTTTATTTGGTTAGTTGTTTCGTTAGTTAATTAGTAACCTAGTTACTTATATATTTGCTATTATATGGAGATGAGATCACACATTAGGGATTATTTGTAGGCCTCAGGTAGCATTTCAATTATAAACTATAACTTGAACCATGGACTAAAATTGTACAATTGAATGGAGGGACAAGAATTTATCATTTATACATAAGGTTTTGATTTGTGGTTTCAGGAACACCTCTAGAGCTATTATTTAATAGTTCTAGAACAGTGAGAATAGAACCAACCTCAATATTTCCTCAAATACAACCTTCAAAGTTAGTAACTTAGCCCCTAAATTGAATGATACAAAGTCTATTGGATTCTTACAAATCATTTTTTTCCATTTCTTTTGGGAAAACAATTACCCTAAGTTTTGATTCTAAGATATGTGGGTTCTTTTCATATTTTTACATTTTGTAAATAAAAATGTGTTCTACAATTGATGATGTACTGAAACATATTTGGTAGCTTTTCCCTCCCTCTTTGTGGTACAAAAAGTAATGTGACTTAAAATGAATGAGTCTTAGATTCAATGAATACCCTAGTAAAGTATCCATGAAGGTATCTAAAAGTGAATCAGCTTTGAACAAATAATGTTAAAATAAGTTTTGGTGATTTAAATTAATTGGATGGCAGAGGATTTATTGGAATAATTTAAGTGTGAAGCTCTTGAATGGATTAACATGAAGTACACAGTATCTTTGTGACTTTCTTGCTTATGCATTTTTTCCCCCCTAGGTGCTCCCAAAGTCACAATGCCCAAGAAAACTCCAGGATACTACCTGCAGCCAGGCCAGATTACCTGCTCTGTTGAGAGTCTTTTGCCCTTTACCTTGAGCTTTGTCAGAAATGGAGTTACACTTGGAGTAGACCAGTATTTAAAGTGTGTAAATGTTTCTATCAATAATAATTTATAGCATTAAACATGTAAATACAAGTAGATATTTATTTTAGTGCACTTTCTCACTGGAAATACTCACTTGTTTGCTTTATAGTCTTGATATATAGCCATGAACAAAACACATAGATCTGTACCCTTGTTGAACTTAAATTGTAGTGGAGGGAGATTGAAAACAGATGATGAATATAATGCTATAATATTCAATTCAAGGATTGACTCAGGTTTTAAAGGATACAAATTTTATATAATTTGAGAGTCCCTTGTTAAGACAAAGAATGTAGAATTATGAATACAATGTTACATAAGGAACCTGGGAAGGGGACCTTGCAAATGAGAGCCCCTGAAGATTTAGCTTTCTTGGCTTCAGGGTAAAAATTTCTCTGAATCTGAGTTAAAGTCTTATGATAAGTGAAACTGATAATTGTTATGACAAAAAGTAGAGCGGGTTAGTTGGGATGTATAATGCTGGTAGGAGGGATGCATGTGGTTTTGGCCAAGTTAAAATTTAAAAATTTAGGGTAAGAGGCATTTGGGCAAAGAACTGAGGTGGTGAGAGAGATGGTCAATCAGATATCCAGGGAAGAGCATTCACACACCAGGAAGAGCGAGTACGAATCCGGGAAGGCAGAGTGGACTGGCCTTGGAACGGAAGACAGGAAGGAGGCCAGTGTGGCTGGAGCCCAGTAAGGCAGGAGGAGAAGGGTTGAAGATAAGGTCCAGAGCATGTGTGGCTACTTCATATTGCAATCAACAGGAGTGGGCTAGAGGGCTCCAACGTTTCCTTGTGAAGTTGGGTAATTTAAGACAGATATAAGTAATCTAGTGATAAAAATTATGTAGCTCTTGAAAACTGGAGGGAAATGATTTATGGAAAGTGTTGCTTTTAACTAATTATGAAACAAACTACATTTTTGCAAAAATTCTAGGAATCATTTTACCAACCTTTTACACTGTTAATCCAATATTAACATAACTTCCATAGATGTTAAATATTTGACAGTCTTAGCTTGTACAACTTCCTTGTGGGGAGTCATTTTAAGCAAAAACTTATGGCAGGAATGTTTATCGTAACTTTAGAAAATTTTCCATTCTTTAAAGATTGAACTATACTATTTCCTGCTCCTTACATAGTATATCTAGGTGATTTACTTAGCTGTATGTTTAATAACCAGCAACATAACTGACCAAATTATCAAATGATGAAGCTACATAACTGACTGATGAAATCAAGTAATTCTTCTTCATGTTTAAATAACAACATTTTCAAAGACACTTGAGAGTCTTTATAAACATTAATTCATTCATTCCACACAGTTCCTGGGAGGTAAGCCACAAGAATTGTTTTTTCTCATTTTTCCAGCTCTGTGGCCCAGGATATGACATGCTTTGCTGACATGTATTAAGGCTAGAGACAAAATTAGGCATGGGTGATGATGAACTAGGACTCTAATTCTGATTTACTCACGTGTCTCTGCCCAAGATTTCCTAACAACATGAAACATGTGAACCTAATGTTTGTTTATGTCAGTCACTTTGGTCACCAGGGGACATAAAAGAGAATCAGTTTGCATTAGTAGGAGGACACATTTCTATTTTACATGGTCTTTTCCTTATTCTGTAGTGCTTAATGACAACTAAGAAGGCCACATGAAAAAGAGAATTATTTTTATGTAATATTTCATCAACAGGAGAGGAATAACTTTAAATTACATTCTTCAAGCAATTAGTAAACTGGTTATGTGACTTTGAACAAATTACTTGTCCTTCTTTCTGGATCTCAACTTTCTCATTTTTAAAATGAGATATTTGGGACTAGAAGAATTTTCACTTCTTTTTTTTTTTTTTTTTTTTTTTTTTGTGGAGGATGGCTGGTACCAGGATCCGAAACCCTGACCTGGGTGTTATCAACAGAATTGTCACTTTCTGTTCTAAAATTTCCATGAGTCTAAGTTTTTGATGAATTCTAATATAAGCTTGGCTCTGAAGTAGGCACTGCAGAAAAACACCAGAGACATATATTCCAAATTCCAATCTTGCAGGAACTTACCGGTACATCCCAGACAATGACATTTACAAACTTGTGCTTAGAATTCAAGATACAGCTTAAGTGATCAGTATATTATATAGTCAAGTGATACTCCCTTTTCTTCTGAATTTGACACGTAGTGCATACAGAATTGAAAGGACACATTAACTGAAGTATATATTGTTAGCTGATAAAATATATGGAACAATGATCTTGCTTAGTTTCTTACTTTTCTGATGATAGGAACCTATGCTTTAACTTCCTCTTACAAACCCTAGGTCAGTGCTAAATGTAAATTAAGAGCTCGGTAAGTTCTTCGTGGTTGTTTGATGATGGGTAGGGTGTGTTTGGATAGGGAGAGGTCTGGAGATAACAACATGAGGTGTGTACCGTATACCGCTTTCAGACTTCAGTGGAAGATGTCTTGACACTGCAATGGGCTTTTCACCTGGTCTGTATTTTGAACATTTAAAAAGGTTGTGAATATCTACAGATGATACAAGAGTGAAATTATGAAAAATATTCATGACATTTTAATCATATTTTAAAATAGGATAATGCTTATTTTTGTAGATTATTGGACTCTTTTTAACAAGGATTAAATATCTATTATTAAGACATTTCCAGAAAGTGAAAAATAATTTGAACAGTCCTAAAGGAAAATGAATAAATACTTTTTAAATGAATGAGAACATAATATAACAGAGGGTTTTTTTTAACCTAAATGATAGACTTTGACTATGAAACTGATAATTTTTTCCTTTTCTCCTTGCATATATAAATTAAACCAGATACAATATATAGCCCCATGTGGAGCTTATATATAAGAAAGTTCAGGAGAATATATCTTTTTATAATCAAAAAGTTGATTTCCTACCTTCAAACTTGTAAATTACCTGGCTGAATTGCTTTGACTAAAATCCCCAGTGAACATGACAAAAAACTGGAAAAGATGATGGGAATTTAATGAGTGTTTGTCAACCCCATTATCTTATAATTTTGACATGGCCAGAAAATGTTTCTCTAAAGAAATTTGCAATGTCCATATTATTGTGTTTTCTGTATCTTTTGCTCAGAGTAAAAAAGCTTAACTTTCTAATTAAAATATAAAAGGTGTGTGATTTTAATTTAAAATGAACTCTGCAGTCTTATCAATTCATTTTATTCACATTATTCTTTTGAATGAATCCTTCAAAAGAAATAGTGGAATCATTGCTTTCAACTTGAGCTTGTTTTTACTGTAACTAGAAAAGTTTCCATTTTCTTACCCCCAGAGAATCTGCCAGTGTGAACTGGGATATTGAAGAGGTCACCTTGTCTGACGAAGGCTCCTATGAATGCATTGCTGTCAGCAGTGCAGGGACCGGACGGGCACAGACGTTTTTTGATGTGTCAGGTAATTATCACTGATTTCTTGGCAGTTTCCTGAGTATTGGTGCAGCTATGGGAATGGGATGTTTGCTAACCAGCTGGTGTTGACACAGTTGTCTTTATGATTATTTTATCATTGTCTATCTCTCTGCTGGATTGTGAACTCTAATCCTGGCTTCATCACACATCAGCTGCATGAGGTTCCTTGGGCCAATTATTTAAGGACTCAGTGCCTTGGTTTCCCTAACTATAATATGAGAATAATAACAATAACAGTTTCTATCTCTTGAAGAAATGGCAAGAATTAAGTGATGTATGTAACATATGTAAAGCAATTACAGTGTTTTTATGAATGGATTCTGACATCTAAATCAAAGGCAGTAATGAAAATGATCATTTTCTAGGCACACTGAGTCCTTAAATAATTTTTTTCCTCTAATTTCACAGAATTCTGAGGGGGAAAAAAAAGACTACCATATATAGTCAGTGATCAGGGCTAAGCAACATATATCTATAATTTATTGAAAACTTCGTTTTGGTTGAATTATTTTCTATCTGCTTTGTGGACTAGCATTACTGTGTGTTTAATAGTAACCTATTCTGACCTTAATATTGCTGCTGCTGAATTTATAACAATGTCTATGTTTGCTTTTAGCTCTGTTGTGCATTGTTTGAGACAATTTAAGACAAAAGAAACTCTATAATTATACCACTGTTTAGAAGCTTAGGATTTGTTATGTTTGTTGTCAGTAAGTGCGAGCTGAACTTTAAAGCAGAGGCATGTAAGTCAGGCAAGCATGCTTTTCTTGCAGGAAAACTATTTGTATTCTCTTATTCTTAGAAAAATAAAGTTTGTCTTCTGAAATTGTTTAGCAAGTTGACATACAACACAAACTATTCATTTTCTCATCTCCAGTAATTATGAAAAGCATTGGAAGTGTGTCAACATTCCTTAGCTTCTGGGAAAACAAACATTTATGCACTTGAGTATTTTTCCAGCGATATTAATTAAGAGAAGGACAACAGGGAAAGAGGTATGAGTGAGTTGATTCAGACATCTTGCATAAATAACTGGGAAGTGCCAGTAAGAACGTGTGAACTGACTGATTTGGCTCTGTGGTGTCAGTAACTTCCGTATGTGTATTCTACGCATGCCCATCTGGCGTTGATCTGTGCCAGCCAGACAATGGTAGATCTAAGAAATTATACTGTGCCCAAGATGATATTCAGGAATTGTTTCGTACTCAATCAATTATGAAAGAAGGGGGCTGAAGCATTGATGGTGATGGCAATGACTACAACAGCAGAAGTAGCAAGCAAGAGCCCCTTTGGAATTTTAGAAGTGGAAACTCCTTTGTGGGCTAGCTGTTGCCCAACACATACCAGCCTTTAACCTCCACCTAGGCTGAGGTTCCAGCTTGGCCACCCTATTGTAACTACTTATCAGCACACAGAATCAGGTAGGCATTCACAGGATTATTAGATCTTGTATTTTATAAAGGAGTATTAGGAAGCAAAGCACTATGGGGTAGTGACAGTCTTGTGTCACTATGGACATTATTTTACTTTATAAAGTCAAAGAGCACCCAAAAGCAGTTTAAAGGAAAGCTGAAGTTCTACTGTACCGCAGGAGCCCCAAATCTGAAAGGGCACTCGCCTAGTGTTCGCCTGTTCCAAGCAACTCACCTGAGCCAATAGGTAGAGACATCAGTTTATTAGACTTGCAGGAGTTACTGGTGGTGGCCTGCAAGCTAGAAATCCATGTCACCATGGGGTACATACAACAGTTACAGAGTGAACAGATCAAAGTAGAGGTGTAAATCATTTGCATGCTTAGGCACAGACCCTCACCCAACTCATAGTGTTTGGGAGATCTGGCTGAGTTTATAAATTAGGCTAATTGCTACTCAAATGTTGCCAGAGTGCTTTATTACCAGTGTGCTCATTCATTTACATGCTAATTCATTTACTCATGGTTCCAGCTGCCTCCAGCCTTCTCTTTGTCTTAGAGGGGACGTTTGTTTTAAAGAGGCGTGCCTTTCCTTGGGTAACTATTTTGGCCAGGGGTAGTTTCCCAGGGGGGAGGGAGAACTCTAGTGTGCCCGGGGAGGGGGAATAGGTCTATGTCCAGCATCTACCCTACATCTACTAATATATTACTTCAATTTTTTCAGTGCTTTCTTTTAGTTGACAAGTTTAAGGGTTTTTGGTTCATTTGAGATACTGGTTATTGATCATTTTAAATGCAAAATGGGTGTAGAAAGCATTGTGCTTCTCCCTTATTGAATATAAATACATATGACTAATGAATAAAATCACAGAAGCATGAAACACTCATTCTTTTCAAATGATATTTGGTAGTTTGGTTTAATACTACTTCAAAGTTATATTATTTTTTTCTACTGAATTTCTTTATTAACACAATGCTTTAGAGCAAGAAGGTTCTTCAGGATAACTTAATCGTTTCATTTTTCAGAAAGGGAAACAATAGTCAGTAAATTGGCTTATCTAAAAATCACACAACTAGGTAGAAGTAAAACTAGGTGGCCTACCATTGCCACATTCAGCAAATAAAAACACAGGATGTCCAGTTAAATTTCAATTTTGTATGTGTGTCCCAAATATTACATGTGACATACTATACTAAAATATTATTTGATATTTATCTGAGATTTAAATTTAATAAGGTGTCCTGTATTATATCTGTCAACCCTAGACAGACTCCAGTCAAAGCTGCTTAACTATGTCATGTACTCTTCCCACTGGATCCGCCAGATATTTTCATGAGAAATTTCAAAAACATAGCAGAATGATAAAAATTATGGTTTTTGTATAATTTAAAACAGTGTATCCTCTTTAGAAAAAATTTGGAAAACAAAGATAAATATAATGGAAAATATAGAAAATACATGCATTTCTGTCACTCAGAGACAACCAGCATGGTTTTGGCATGACTGCTTTCAGCTTTTATTCTAGGCTTATGATGCTCATCTGCACGTCTGTGTCATTTTAAATAGCACAGGAATAAAGCTTAATCTTGAATATCTGACACTGTTGTATATTTAAACTAAAACAGACACAAGGATTTCCAACTAGCATAGATCACTGTAGTTTTTATTGCTGTATTACTTATAATGGCTTGTTGCAGGAGATCTTTAAAGCATTTGGCCAAAATGAGCTGTACAGGGGGAATTTAAATTCATTCTCAAAACTACTAGAGCAATATGTGATTCACTTTGCAAATGTTGGTTAAATATCTAATTAGTAATCGGCTTTTGACCACATTTGAAATATGCATGTATTACTCAATGCCTTTTGTGTACACATCTCTGTGTGTACCATTTTATTAAAGGTCTATCCCTACTGTTCACTTGACCTTCCTAGATCAAACTGTTCCCTATCCCTGCTTGGAGAACATTTGTCTTATTAAACTGTTGTACTGTGTCCTCTTTATGAGACTGCACCCCCCCCCAAAAGCCGATACTATCACTGCCATGTCTACCTCCTTTCTGTGCTATTTGCTTTAAATCACTAAATATATATCATTAAATTTAAAAAATCCATAAATGCTACTTTCGTCAAAATGGAAATAAAAAATTTGCCTCATTCCACAATCCTAGCTCAGTCTAGTCATATCTTCTTGCCTTGCCTCTTCGACTCTCTGTAATTTAGAGATAGTTGAGTAGATTTGGGTCTGTAATTGTGCACAACTTTTTAAAATATAGTTTAACGAGGTAATAATTCGGGGAGGCTCAAAGACAAACACATTAATCAAGAAGTTCTGTTGTATTGCATCTTTCTTGCAGATATTCAATACATACTCATTCAGTTTTTAAACCTTACATCTGTAAAAACAAAATGGCTTTTAGGTCCCTTGATTTGAATCTTTTTGATTTCACACAGAGCCCCCTCCAGTCATTCAAGTGCCTAATAATGTAACAGTCACTCCTGGAGAGAGAGCAGTTTTGACGTGTCTCGTCATCAGTGCAGTGGATTACAATCTAACCTGGCAGAGGAATGGCAGAGACGTCAGACTGGCAGAGCCAGCAAGAATTAGGACGTTGGCTAACCTCTCGTTGGAACTAAGGAGTGTGAGATTCAGCGATGCTGGAGACTATCATTGCATGGTTTCCAGCGAAGGCGGATCATCAGCTGCTGCAGTTTTCCTCACAGTACAAGGTACTGTGCTTCTGGTAACTTCTGAATTACCATTCTGTCTTCCTTCTTCCATCTCTGTTCTCCCAAGTTGGTTATCTGAGAATGATTACAATTACAATGACAAACAATTACAGTTTGTCATGATAGAATGCTTGGGCATCCTCAGTGATCTAAAACTGACTAGACTGGAAACTAAAACATCACTAACAAATAGGTTTTAATATGATCACAAATAACTAGTTATGATGTCTGTCAACTAACTACTAGTTAAGATGTCTGTGTTAAGAGATCAAACTGTTCCCTATCCCTGCTTGGAGAACATTTGTCTTATTAAACTGTTGTACTGTGTCCTCTTTATGAGACTGCACCCCCCCCCAAAAGCCGATACTATCACTGCCATGTCTACCTCCTTTCTGTGCTATTTGCTTTAAATCACTAAATATATATCATTAAATTTAAAAAATCCATAAATGCTACTTTCGTCAAAATGGAAATAAAAAATTTGCCTCATTCCACAATCCTAGCTCAGTCTAGTCATATCTTCTTGCCTTGCCTCTTCGACTCTCTGTAATTTAGAGATAGTTGAGTAGATTTGGGTCTGTAATTGTGCACAACTTTTTAAAATATAGTTTAACGAGGTAATAATTCGGGGAGGCTCAAAGACAAACACATTAATCAAGAAGTTCTGTTGTATTGCATCTTTCTTGCAGATATTCAATACATACTCATTCAGTTTTTAAACCTTACATCTGTAAAAACAAAATGGCTTTTAGGTCCCTTGATTTGAATCTTTTTGATTTCACACAGAGCCCCCTCCAGTCATTCAAGTGCCTAATAATGTAACAGTCACTCCTGGAGAGAGAGCAGTTTTGACGTGTCTCGTCATCAGTGCAGTGGATTACAATCTAACCTGGCAGAGGAATGGCAGAGACGTCAGACTGGCAGAGCCAGCAAGAATTAGGACGTTGGCTAACCTCTCGTTGGAACTAAGGAGTGTGAGATTCAGCGATGCTGGAGACTATCATTGCATGGTTTCCAGCGAAGGCGGATCATCAGCTGCTGCAGTTTTCCTCACAGTACAAGGTACTGTGCTTCTGGTAACTTCTGAATTACCATTCTGTCTTCCTTCTTCCATCTCTGTTCTCCCAAGTTGGTTATCTGAGAATGATTACAATTACAATGACAAACAATTACAGTTTGTCATGATAGAATGCTTGGGCATCCTCAGTGATCTAAAACTGACTAGACTGGAAACTAAAACATCACTAACAAATAGGTTTTAATATGATCACAAATAACTAGTTATGATGTCTGTCAACTAACTACTAGTTAAGATGTCTGTGTTAAGAGATATGAAAATTATCTCTGGGTGATTTAATAGTTTTAAATTCTCTAATCTATCATGTGGATTTAAAAAAAAAATCTAATTGATTAATAGTTGGTTCGAAAAATTCCTTCTCAATTTAAGTACTATATTATTGCATATATAACTAATTGACTTCTTTTTAAATTAAATTTAATAATAATTTTTTACTAATTTTTTAAGGTAAAGATTTAAGATTCTTCTCATCTTGGTGAAATTTTATTGAAACTTAAGCAGACTTGTTTATCTTATTTGTCTTATACACACACACACACACACACAAGTACTTATTGGCAATAAATTAAAGGTAAGCCAATCTTTTTTTTTTTTTTTTTTTCT